TTTGACACATTCACCAACTAAATTGTTAATCAAAACTTACCAATTGCAGAGTAGTATTTATCACTGATGTTAAAAAGGGGTTAAATGATTGAAGAAAATTTAATTAGAAATTAACTTTATGTGGCGAACCAAACCAAGAAATGATCTTGCACAAGCAGCCACGTTAACTTGCAATATGCATCTGTACTTTTTAGTCCATCCTAGCAACCCCACCAAGTTCATTGAAAAACAAATCAATTAAATTATATATATTATTTTAAAGCTTCCATTAATGATTGTTGTGTTGTTAATAAGCACAAAGCTACACAGATGGCTATCTGTGCTCTGCCCACCACGGGCATCGAAACTCAGTTTCTAGCAGTATAATTCCACAGACATACTAATATGTTTAAAATTATTTCTAATATAGAAAAATACCTTAAACAAAGTTTTAGCTGTAAAATACTGGTCTCTATATAAAGACTTCTATGAGGAATCATATAATGACCAATTTTGTATTTTCACCGAAAGTATAAAAGATTAATTCGTAGACGCTTAGTACTGATGCGTACACGTTACTGACATACAATGTGTGACAAGGGACTTGTAAGAAATAAGAGATTTTATTGGTATAGAATTAACGCAAAAAATTTGCAAAGAGAAAAACTAAAATAAAAAAAAAAGATTGATCTGAAATTTTCATTAGGAAGTCGCTTAAGCATTTTTTTTACAATTTTTCTTTTTTTAATGTAAAGACATCTTGATCAATTTTCAGCCATTTCGCACAAAGCTGAGTTGGCAAATTTTCACAAAATAAATCATTCAATAATCTTAAAGATTATTTTTAATAACAATATGACTCCCTTATGCAGAGTTAAACAACAATATTTATTTTATACACTTTATAGTGTTATACCCTTTCTTCAAGTAAAGCAACTTTGAAATATATAATATTAAATTCAGTTCAATTATTTTGGTAATGGTAAGTATTGTGAATCCTAGCGGTCAATATTTGTAACGAATTTTTCAATTCTTGTAGACGAATTAGTTATTCTAAATTGGAATTTATCTTATTTTTACCTTTGATTTTGTTCTAAACACTCAATAAATATACAAGAAATTTAGCTTCAGGCTTGCATGAAATCCATAGCGGAAGATTACCAACACAAATTTTGGCTGTGGCCAGCAACAGTTATTTCAGAAACAGTCAATACTTTGAGGGCATATTTCCTTAGAGAATTATTTACAAATACTATATAAAATAAATAGCAGATGGTTATACATATTTTGTGTTCACAACGTTACGCATCTTTGCTTCAACCAATGATTTAACAATACGTCAAAACTAGAGAGATTAAATTTTAAAGTGAAGCGTGAAGATATTTTTAGATGATATAGTAATTTTTGGTCAAAATTTACTTTACTAAGTGGCTAGTATTTAAGCAAAAGAATAAAAAATATTTTCTTTAGATAAGATTATGCACTCAATATTAAGAATATTTTTGACAGTAAATTTTAAATTAGTAAATTACCCTTCGAAATTCATGGAAAACAACAATTATGCAAAACACTTTGAACATCTTGCTTGGGTGATCCTTATATATCAGTTCGTATAAATCAGTGTAACCAGTCGTAAGTTCCACAGGGAAAAAAACCCTTGATCCCCCACATTGGGGCTCTAATATGAATATTTCCAAAATTTTAGCTAGATGGTCATTTTGAGTGTGCATACTAGTTGTCATTTAAGTCTATAGATTCAGTACTTAGAGCTCTCTAACCTTTTTCCTTTTTTACCACTCTATAAAGGCTCATCCTGACATCTCCCAAATTTATATTTGTGTTATTGGCTTGAATGAGTCCTTACATGGTAATACTAATTTTTAAGTAAATCGATCCAACCTGAAAGCCCAACCCCCCCCCCCCACCTACGTAATCTCTCATTTCTAAAATCTCCTCAAAAATGTTTTCTTCGTTTATATTCTGTGGAGATGAAGGGCTTGCAAAATGTCAAGCTAATTTTGTTTTTAAGAGTAAGATAAAATGCGTAAGTATTCATCGCATTGTAACAAAACAGTAAAACTAATTATACATGTTCTACCATCGGCACAGTAATAGCTAATCCCTTAGTATTTCCGGCATGTGTCACGGCACAGTAATAGCTAATCCCTTAGTATTTCCGTCATGTGTCACGGCACAGTAATAGCTAATCCCTTAGTATTTCCGTCATGTGTCAGAACAAAAAAATTTTTGTTATTACTTTTTTCTTTAAGATTATTGATGAATTTTGAGAAAAAAACGGAAACATAATTTGTTAGTAAAACGTCTTTTAGTAGTCTTGATAAAGTCATTAAATTGTGAATTAGTAATTTGTGAATTCGTACCACTTTGTTGTCAATTTACGTTTATAGGCTTAATAAACTTACAACACTGAAGAACATCCACCATTGAGCATCCCCGAATCTTGATCTTGCTAACAAATTCACAATCACACAACGTGAAGTAATATAGAACCTATTACAACCTACTTAAGACTTCTAGTGGAACTCGATTGTTACTTTGAACCAGAATTTCACATAAAGCTGCACAAAAGGCTATCAGTCCATCTACATTTCTCTGTCATGAACGAAAAGTTTCATTCAAATTATGATCAACTTCTTCGATTTTGATAACATCTATATAGGTCATCAAAACGTATCTTGACAGTTTCCACTTCGGGAATCTAAAAGTAGGGTTCAACAAAATATATTTACTACTCATTCATGAACTGTATCCTTCTTATAAAAAGTTCTTGAAATTTCTTGTAACATCAAGATCCGATCTACTTCTAAAACTTGAGATAATAACAAAAACAACCTTATTCGAGCTACTACTTTCATTAAATTTTATAACATCAACTATATGAGCCCGGCATGGCCAGGTGGTTAGGACGCTCGACTCGCAATCTGCGGGTCGCGGGTTTGCATCCCCATCCCACCAAACATGCTCGCCCTTTCAGCCGTGGGGGCGTTATAATGTGACGGTCAATCCCACTATTCGTTGGTAAAAGAGTAGCCCAAGAGTTGGCGGTGGGTGGTGATTACCAGCTGCCTTCCCTCTAGTCTTACACTGCTAAATTAGGGACGGCTAGCGCAGATAGCCCTCGTGTAGCTTTGCGCGAAATTCAAAACAAACAAACATCAACTATAATTTAAATTCTAAATCTTTATCCTAACAGTTGTGTAAAAAAGTGTAATTCTTGCAAATAGCACAATCCAAAACGAATCTTTATTATTAAAATTTCTGATGTTACTGTCGATTCTACTGCTGTATTTTATTATGTACGTTTAGTTAAACCTAAGTTAAACTAATAAGCCGTCAAGCTGAAATTATGGATGTGTGTGTTCTGGATACTCTTTTAAATTTAAACATGAAATTAAATTATTATTTTCATTTGGGTATTGGCAATCAATATTATAAAATAAACTGGATAAAATAAAGATAATAATAATAGCATACTCGTGGAAAAAGTCATAAAACAGAAATCTGCATTATACATGGCTCATAAAACTTTATTAAGAGTTTCTGGCCTCACAATGAAAGATAATGAATTTTGAACATCATGAGATTTAAAAATAATCGCAAAGGAAAAACTAAATTTATATTTATTCTTTTTATTCAGATCGGAGACTGGAGATTCTTCTAAAAACAATCGGTTGATAAGAGTCATTATACTAAAGTAAGCCTATTCTATTTGTAGAATACATTTTTGTGCACGAGATTCAATGTATATTAAATATAAAGAGCCAAGAAGAAACTCCCATTTTTCTTTGATGAAAACTGAGAGCTTCAAGTACAGACCATAGGCCCTATTTCTGTATAACCTTTAGCAAGTATAAAGAATAGTGTTTTGTAAATGCCACACTCGTAAAAAAAACATTATCATAAAATCATGGTAAACTTTTATGCATGTTCCTGAAACTTTTAGCCCAATTTCTAGTTGATTCGTCCAAAGGAATTTAAGTTCCAATTTTCAACAAACTCTTGTCAAGTTTGTATTTGTCAAAAACTGTGAGTTATTAACAGAATAACATCGGTAGCTTAAGGGTCATATATACGTAAATATGAGCCACCAAGAGTTGTATTACATTGGACAGTAAGTCGCCAATCTTATTTTGATTTATGTATATATGAGATAAGTGATCATATATCTCATGGTCAAAATAAGTTATTACAAACTTGCTGATCTCACGGTTTATTACATTATATATGATATTCGGGAAGGTTGAGTAAACTTAGGTTTGTAAAACAAACAAAAAAGCAAGGAATGTGATAAGTGGTGTATTTAGGCCATGGTCGAAACTTTTGTTTAGAAACCTGACAAATTCATACAGGTTTGCTCTCACTCCATCCAATGCACCCAGTGTCTTTTAAGATAGGTCATCTGTATCTGTGGCGTTTAAACCAGTTTGACTTCTTATACGTGACTAGGCTCGCGGCAAATTCATACCTGACACGTGCATTGCTACGTAGTTAAAACGTTACGAGGCACGCTAGACGTGTGAACACATTCCAAGCGTACTGTGACTCAAGCAGGTCCTTGCAAGCTCGTATCTACTATTAGTTGATGAAAGAACACAACAGTTTAACCAATACGCTTTGCTTCAGCCTGTTTGAACATCGCAGCCCTGTTTCCGGTTCAGATTAGACATAGGTATTTATTGTGTCAGTCCATCAAATATATATGGGAGTTCCTTTGAAAGTTATGCAGTGGCTGCCAATGCTTTGACGGAATAATACGATTTATTATGTGTATTGTACTGCTATTATTTGCATAAATGGCCGTAATAACGGCTCCAGTTTTTCGCAAAGACCATGAACTATATTCTAGGTTAGTTGTACATGTACTTGTATTGTCAAAGTCTTTGACAATTGCATAACCCTTTTTTTTCTGAAGATAAGTTACCTGATCACTTTGCAAGACAATTCAGTTCATATGGGCGTGCAAGACAGGAACAGACTGCAGTTTGAACGTTATCGACCAGTCATAATAATCGTATAATCTTAGCGGTGATCAGAGTTACTAGAAAGACTTTAAAAGTGTGTAGAAATATGACATTTTGTGCGAAAAGATCGGGTATCAGGTTAATCTAACATAATCATCCTCAAATTTATTCGGAATTCAGAGAAGAAAAGTACTTTATATCAAGCTTAACTAAGACATTTTAAAATATTTAAAGAAAAAAAAATCCCTCAGTAGCTCTCACAAAAAGCATGTGTATGGAGGAATATAAAAACAGCGAACAGAAAGAAGATGGGCAATACAACAACTAGCTCTCGCGGTCATAGCCCTTCACCCAGGTCGCTTGAAGAGAGGATTGAAGCTTGGGAGGTTCGAGGTCGCTTGCCGCGTGTACAACCAATCCGTAGAACTCGAAGTCAGGTGGTGAAGACAAGGGTAAGAATACCTGTTTGTGTTCGTTTGTTGATTTTACTGTTCTTCTTTTGTTTTATTTTTACTGTTGTTGCTGGTTATTTTCAGCAGATCCAAACAACGTTGTCTAAATAGTTATACATATCGCTGTTGGTTTACAGCATAAATTCAGTTTCATTAATCTAAATTATTATAATAACTAAATGTTATAATTTGATTTACAAATAAGATGGTGGTGTTGAAAACAAGCTTATGGGTTAGACAAGCCTACATGTTACACTTCTCTCACGATGTTGTTATGGTTTCTTGTTTTATTAGCGCAAAGCTAACTACGCTCTGTCTGCCACTGGAAATCGAACCTCAGATTTTAGCATTGTAGATCTGTAAATGTACCGTTGACTCACCTTAGGGGGACTCTTTCAAGACTTCTGCATATATATATATATATAAATATTATGTAGATGCATCTACACTGAGTGTATAAACTGATTTTGATTAAGTCTAACTTTTCGCTTCTTGGTTTGTTTTAAATTTTCACACAAAACTACACAAACGCTACCTCCACATAGGTATCCGTAATTTTGAATTGATAGATTACAAGAAAAATAGCTACTCAACAGCACCTATAATAGTCTGATCGAATATTGGGATTCGACCGTCACTCTTATAGCGCACCCATGACCCAGAAGCACCGAATACAGTTTTGCGGCTGCGGGATGCGAACCATAAATTCTAGGATTCACAATCCGGGAACGCTAATCATTATTCAAGCTCGGTCTTACTTTTTGCGAAAGAATAATTTGAAAAAGTGAAATCCAAACCATTTTATGTTTTTAACCAGGCTGGGTTTCACTTGTCTGTCCATGTTTACATTTAATTAGCATGATCAAATGAGTTCGTACAGCCAGAATTAAAAGGTTTACGAAAAGCAGGAGAAAAGAAGATACGAATAATCATATCATCCAGTAGTTTTAGCTTTTTTTGTCGTTGCGCTTCCCCTTACATTACATTCCTGAATACTTTCTGTAAAGTTATAGAGAACTGACATCAACTGTATATTGACATGAATTCACCAATCTCAAGAAGCTAGAAAATACCAGAGTATTTACGCACAGTATAATATCCATGATTGATTGGAGTGCTTTGGAAAGGTGGTATGTGAGAAAATATATTTATCCACCGAAAAACGCTTGAGTGAAAAAAAAAACCTAATTCTGTTTTCGCTGAAACAATAAGTGATTAACACAATAAATTAAAGCAACTTGCCATTACACACACAAACTGTATCATTTTATTCGTGTGCTGTCAAACGGAACTTGTATTCAGTTTGGCTCTTAATCCACTTAAGAATCATCACTGAGTCCTACTGTGATATGGTGAATTAGGAGCTAAATCGAATATAAATTCACTTTTACAGCACATGAATGAAATATCCTTGTTCAGCTGTGTAGATGTGCTAAAAAATTTCTTTTCAATAATTCCAAAAATTCCTCCTTTTAATATTTCAATTAGAAATTCTAATTTCTAATCACAACAGTTTACGTCAGTTTTAGCCAACACACTTATCATTTTTTATGGTATTTAACAACATTTTAGGCTTATATTAGTTATACTACTGATCTTTTCTATAAACTGTAATTATTCAAAATACTTTATATTTCATTTCACCTATTTACTCAGAAGTTTTCAGTCATTTCATGCACCAATGATTTAGTGTATTACAGACCAACATGAAACACCTGCACTCTCGGACATGTTTATCAAAGAATTGGATATGATTGGCATGAACGTAATGTCAAAACATTACGGCTTGATGTTAGCTTGTTCGATTATAGGTCTTCATGCACGTGGAGTATAATGTTCCAATGTAATATAAATAAGTTGAGTTGCCATGATAGAAGAATCAAATATCAAGGAAAGATAAAAACATGAGAACAAGTTCTCAGTTACGTAAATGACTTATAGGTAGAATTAAATATGAAAATGATGTCAAAGAAAGAAGGTTAACTACAAAAATCTCTTATGTTTTATAGAAATTAAGTATTTATCTCTATGATATTCTCCGTATTATAACAAATACATCCATTCGTTGCTACTGGGAATCTATGTTGAATGACAATGTTTTTCAAAGGGAAAAATACGCTAATAGTGTTTTAAAAATGCAGCTTTCATAAACTTCTCTAAACGTGTTTGTCTATTATAGTTAGGGCTATTCTTTTCTTACTGGATTTGGAACGTTTACCAAACACAAAGATCAAAGAAAATGAATGAGTTCAACTCTCTGCTTCTGAAGTTATTGCCGTCAATAGGGTAAAAAAAAAACAGCCTCCATTTATAAGCATTGTGACATTTACTGAAACGACTTGGGTAAGTTGGTGATATTTTGTTTCAAACCTGAAACTTTTCGAAGTATTGAAATAGTTTTATGCTTCATATTATCTCCAGAATGTAAGTTTTACGCAATAACGTGAGGTAGGTGGTTCCTTATCAACTTGTCCTGGTTTTAAAAGAAAGTTTGTTGTTTGTTTCTGACTCAAATTATGAACAGACCTCCGTATTAATTTATGAACAGACAGAATATTACCTGTAAAGCAACTCAAACATAACATTGGTCGACAAAAATCGAACTGTTTTCTAACATCAAAGATGTAAACACACTTTTCTAGACCAGGTTTCCACGCTGATTCCACATCTGTTTTCAGTTTTCTTCTAGCACATCCAGATATCGAAATAGGACTGGTATTAATTTCAGCACAATTTATGTAATAATCACACATTAGGCTAGTTAACTTTACAACTTTATTCATTTTTCAGTATAATTTACACAAACATTATACACACCATACACTTGGTGAAATTTATACAGTACACACTTATGAAAAAAAAAAATGTACAACAACTTAAGTTATAATTAAGGCAATAACCTTTCATATTTGATCGGTCTCATCACAAATACTTGACGTGCTGGAGGAAAACCAAAAACAGAATTGGAAATAGCGTCCCAAGAGCTATCTTGCTCTCCTATAATTATATTTGATGAAATTGACTTGTTGGTCAGTGTAATTAGCATTACTGAATGTAACATGTTCCAAATGTTCAATAAAAGATTCATTTAATTCATAAAATTAATTTAGTTGCCGGTTTATTAGTTTTGCTGGTATTATTTCAGTTTCCAAAAAGTATTTTTCTCATGAAATCAGTATCCATGAAGCATTGTGATACAACCAGTTTTTAACTGCGATAAGCTGAAAGTTCACATACATGATGTTACCACCAGGGAACAAAAGCGTTTGAAAAGTTCACTCCATGGCGTTAATACCAGGGAATGATAGCGTATGAAAAGTTCACATCCATGGCGTTACTACCAGGGAATAATAGCGTTTGAAAAGTTCACTCCATGGCGTTACAACCAGGGAATGATAGCATGTGAAAAGTTCACATCCATAGCGTTACTACCAGGGAATGATAGCGTTTGAAAAGTTCACTCTATATCGTTACTACCAGGGAATAATAGCATTTGAAAAGTTCACATCCATAGCGTTACTACCAAGAAATGATAGCGTTTGAAAAGTTCACTCCATATCGTTACTACCAGGGAATAATAGCGTTTGAAAAGTTCACTCCATATCATTACTATCAGGGAATAATAGCGTAGAAAAGTGCAGATAACTGAAGAAATTCCAACCGTGGTGTAATCTGTATGGATCTTGAAGCAGGAAATTTCCGATGTTAAGAAAACAACAAACATTAAAAAACGAAAATATTTCAGTAGATTTTGATAGAGAAACCTTTTATAAAAGAAAATGTATAGATTATTAATTCGATATGTGTTTTTTTCTAAAAGAAACCCAAAAAACTGGGCATTTTCAACCTTGGCAATTTAATAGCTTATTTTCTAAGGCTTTCTTTCAAAAGTCTTTGGACATAGAAATTTTACCTGGTTAGGGCGCTCAATTTCCAATCTCTGGGTCACGGGATCGAAACCCGCCACTGAACGTGATCGCTTTTTCAGCCATGAGAACATTATAATGTAACATTCAATTCTACTACTCGTTGGTAAAATGTAGCCCGAAAATTGGCAGTTAGTAGTGTTGATTAGCTGCCTTCTCTCTGGTATTAGGGACGGCTAGCGCAGATAAACTTTGAATAGTTTTGAACGAAATTTAACAAAAACAAACAGTCAGAAAAATACTCGACGAAACCAGCAAACTTCTTGTAGTTGAGTTTATTAGTCCAAATCCGTGTGCCTACACCCTAGTTGCAAACAATGGATCAAAACGTTGACGACTCTACATGTTTCGACATTACAACGTCATCCTCAGGAGTTGTAACGTCGAAACATGTAGAGTCGACAGCTTTTTGAAGGCCATAGATAGGCCTAAATGAAATGTTTTTAATTGTGTACCAATTTAACGTTGAATATTATTTATGATTTTAACATCAATATTTATTATATTTTTTTTTATAACCATGTTTAACCATGCTTATAAAGAGTGTAGTGGTAAAGAGCTTATTAAAATGATAAACAATAGTAGAAAGGAACAGTCTAATCTCCAGATCTGACCGGAAAATTAACGGGCAATATATCTGACAAAAACAATATGTTTTTAACTCTTTCACTGCATTTATATGTCCCTCCCGCCGCTCTACAACACTGCTATGGGAGTTTGGAATTTTGTATCACTTGTATTACCAGTTTCAAGTTTCAGAGTAATGAAATAGCAAAGCATGTGTGTTTTTATTGTTTTATTATTGTGTATCTAACGGTTAACCTGTCACCGGGAGAGTTCTTTGTGTATAAACGAGGCAGTGAAATACTTCGACCAAATGTTTCAACGCTATAAACACACACACACATGCTATATATATATATATATATATATATATAATGTAACGTAATATGGTCTTGAAGTATTTTTCGCTATTAAATGGTTATTAATACCTTTGCCATTACGAATATCTCGCGATAGACATTCTGTTTGTTGGTTTTAAAGCAAAGTTACATTAGGCTATCTGCTGTATTC